GGTTTGCTCTGGGCAATGATGAATCAGTGAGTCATTCAGTCAGTCAATCAGGACAAGCAATTTTATATATATAGATTATTCGTTAGCTCAATGTTGCATCGTTCCAGTTCCAAGAAACCAATATCATATTTGTCCTTCGAGAACACATCATGAAATTTGTCCAGAAGTTGAATTAATCATTTGTTTTTGTTTCTTTGCTTTCTCTCGAGCATCTGCTCGATCTTTTTCTCCTTCAAATAGTTCTGCCAACGAGACATCTATTTGGTCCTCTTGATTTATATTTACATTGTTTTCCTCGACAGTTGCACTGTAATTTGTACTGATTTTGTTCATTATTTCTTTGTTATCCAAAGAAATAATGAACAAAAGACATTTTGAAATATTCTATATTTCTTATCCATACTTAGATTGAAAAGTTTCATCAAATCTAGGCCCAGTAAGAATGAGCAGATACATCTCTCTAGTAGCAATAGTTCTACTTGATTCATTACCTTTTCCTATGGTTAAATTTAGTTTAAAAAACACATATTTGGGCCGGGTCATAGTGCATAATTTTATCTTTTCTGCTTTGCATTAAAAAACCTTTATGTTCAAGTTTTTTGCAATACATTTGTTGATGATAGAGATATTTGTCCCACTATTGTAGATTCCTTGGACTATTACACCATTCATTATACAATCAAACTTAATAAGTGAGATGTATTTTCTAGTTTAAAACAATACCAAAAAGGAAAATTATCTCAATATGGAGATAATTTTCCTTTTTGGTTGCCTTTACAATGTTTATTAATTTGTCAGGTTTATTTCAACCATTTTGTTTCGACATTAGGAACTCCAATGATACCTATTTTTGTGAGAAAATGGGATATAAATATGACAGGGATTTGTGGGTCTTTTCCTGAGCCTAGCAGTTTGAGATATCAATGTAGGTTCTATTGAGAGGTTACATCTATATCTTTACGTATGTTTAAATTAAGATTATCCTCTGCTGATTTTCACCATTTGGTAAAAATATGAGTATGAAGTGGCTTTAATAACAATGAAATATTTGGATAGACCCGAACGTAGTCCATGTACCATTGAGGGTAAAATGTGTTCTTTGGTTATTTTTGCTAGTACGCCCAACCGTCTTTTATCATCAAAGTATGCTTTCATACCTGATCCAGCATTAATCTCAGATTAAAGAATTCAACGATAGGTTTAGTCACTTCTAATGCAAATTGATCGAGCACTTTTACTTTTAAGGCATCCCGTGAACTTTCGTAAGTATCAGTTTAAGGCATTGTCCTTCAGGTAATTCCCCAACATAAATATTTTGGCATCTTCATCCCACTTATAAAATTTAACTATGCTTTCAAACCATTTTATAGTTCTCAATATGTATCTTATCATTCCCATAAAATGTTGCAGTTTGGGATTACTCTGATCTCGTGGCTCAGTCCTTTCCATTTTCTCTTCAAACTGTTTTTGAATCATCTGCAATCCTCCTATCTATTTGTGACGAACCATCTACCAATTTGGTTTGCTTTCGTCTTCTTCCTACATCCAATTTTAGGTTATATCCCTTTGACTTGTAAATTCTTCAATTCTTTCGACTTCATCAGTACTGTTTACTGTCCATTTGCTTCAGTTCCTAGATCAAGAATGTTGTGAGAGCCTTCATTCTTAACGAGTCATTTTTCCACGAGGACAACAACTCTTTCGTTCTCTAATGTCTTTTGACCAGAATGAAATGAGTGGCCATGTATCTCCATTTACTGTTCTACAAATACACAAAAATGAATGACTGTTTTAGCCCAAGAAAACAGAGTTGAATGAGTCATAATCACAGACGTCACATTTTGATAAATTATGGAGATACTAGTGATTTGTGTAACCATTACAATGTCACAAGTGTCATTCACTTTAGAATCACTTTATATATAATTTAAAAAAGTTATAGCTATTTAAATATTATTTATGATTGAAATAGTTTCTAATTGTAAATTTAGAAGACTTTCATAATGGAAGGAAAAAATGTTCTTAATGATTTATAGCAGTTTCCTTTATTTTCAACATCTTCACTGAAGTTTTAAAAATAAAGGCAAGGTATTTAGAATATGGAAATAATTGTAACTTTTCCTTTTTCATTGTTAATAACTTTTTAGTAAGATTTAACAGATTATTTGTTCACAAGAAACCAACCATTGTTGTCAATACATGATAAAAATGCAGGCATTAGCCAATTTTTCTTTGGGTAAATGATACTTGCAAGAATTTTTTTTTTAAATAATTAGGTCAAATGCATGTGAGTCTAAATTACAATCCTCAATATACTCACACAGGTAATTAGTCTGGATGAGAAATAAAATTGTTGAAGCCTGGTAGAATAAGTTTTATGCATTAATTAATTGATCGGCTAGTTGCTTTGTCCCTATTTTACACATCACAATGCATTACTTCATGATGATGATTATTGTCATTTCACACATTGATCTTTCATTAAATTCATACTTTATATTAAAAATTTTCTTTTCCTAAATAGAAAAAAAAATATTCAATTTAAAAAATTCCAAAGGTAGAGTTGGAAAAAGATTTTTCACATTGTTTCCTTAAAGGCATTTGATCAATGGATCTCATCCAAATTAATTTGGAATTATAAAAAATATAGGTTGAGAAAATAATAGAAAGATTGATGATTAATATGAAAGATCCAGATACAACTGGATCTTTCTAATATTAATAAATTTAAAATAATTAATTATTGCCATTACTTGCAACTTTTGGTAAATATTTTTAGTTCTTATGTCATCTTGCAATCCAACACTATTCATTAATACAAAATTTCAAACTTGGCTTAGTTGCAGAATATTGGAATGATCTGTCATCTGGCAATTGTCTTTTTCATATTAAAAATCAATTATTAAAGGTAAAAAAATTGATAAACAGATTATTCATATATATATATCAAAAAATTTGATATATTTGCATTAAAAAGTACCACTCTAGCATCCGAAAAAGGCTTCGTGTTTCCCCAATAACCATGCTTCCAACGAAATAACCACACTAAGATATAATCATCTTAGCGTGGTTATTTTGTCGGAAGCATGGCATTACTAATTTGTACTGGTGTGCATTTCTAACTGTAATCTTTCTAAAGTGTTGTTGTAACTGTCATACTTATATGTAAATTGTTTTATCTATCTATCCCTGATTTTTTAATTCAAAAGTAGCATTTTTAACCAATAAATAGAAATTGCATTGCCATAATCAATGGCAGCTCATTTTGCTCTTAGAGCCTCAAAAGACCCTCTGTCCTCTCTGGCTTAGGTTTTTTTGTTTCCATAATGCTTTAGGTTATATTCTTTTTAACCTAAGGTAAGGCGACTTCGTTGCTACAATAAACAAATGTTGTTGATTTTACATAAAAATGTAATAGATATAAAATGAACAAACAAATTTTGTGTAGAACTTTCAAACACCCAATTGCTGAAAGATCCACATGAAAAGTAGAACAGCATACAATTGCCAGCAATTCAAACAGCCAATTTTAATCATAATGTTATGAATAAAAAATGTAATCACTATTTAGCAAATTATAATTAATTCTATCCTATGCCTAATAAATTAATTTTAACATATCAAAGTCATAGTTGCTATAACAGATGCTCTTTGTGCATTTTATATGAAAGGTAAAGATTCCAATTTGTTTTAAAATTTGACCATATTTTTTTATATATTGGCCCTACAATTATTGACTTTTTTCTAATAATTAAAACAGAGGTATATCCATATTTCAAACAATCTTTATATAGTTTTTATTGAATTTTATTTATTTTGACATTTCTCTTAATATGGAAAAGTTAAACGGAAATATCTGGTTTCTTCTTGTCTTCCATAATTAAAAACAAAAAATAATAATTACCGATAACCTAAATAGTAAAAAAGAGGAGGACCGTCGGATACAGTTTTAGTATCTTGCAACGTACAAGATCAAAACCACAACTAAATACAACAAATTAAATTCCTGATTTATTCATATCATTCAATATATATCAAATGTTCATCTTTCAATAAGTGATTACAAAAGTATATAACATTTTTAGTTACGATAAATTAAAAGTATTAAGTAGTCACTTCATACAAATTAACAAGTTTTCCATTGTAAATATAATAATCCAATTTTGAATACATTTAATTATATTTTGCTTGTTCATTATTCAATGATTTAATTAATAGCTTATCTATTTAAATATTTGTCACGTATTTTATATGAATTTTTTAAACAAAATGTATATACTATATGGAGGTTTTTAATTCTAAGTTGCAGTGATTCTATTTGATGACAAAATCTTTATTTAACATATCGTAGATTTGCGGTTAACCATTTTAGATTGACATAAATTGATTTTTTTTTTTTGCTTGAGTTTTGATTAAAGCAGCTTTAATTAAATGAATGTTACTAGAATTATGTTTTAATTTAAATTACTAATTTATGGAATAATTTGCAATTGTTTCCACCACAAAGTGAGTCAAAAATAGTTTTTTTTTCTTTTGTTTCCTCCTCTAAAAAAATTTTTGATTCTACAGAAATGAAAAATAACTATGAATGCTCAAATTACATAGAATTTTTCATTTGTATAAAAAAAAAGAAAAAATTGAATAAATTAGAAAGAAAAAAACTGCTGCCAAATCAATTGTAATTATAAAATTGTAAATAGTATGCAGCTGAAAAAATGTTTAGATAAGTGAATTTTTAATCGTGGTTGTATAAAATGTATTTTAGAAGTCTAAATAATGTTTAAAAATTGTGAAACATGTAATTGAATGTAGTAAATAAACAGCCATATTATGATTTTCTGAATAATTGTTAGTGTAATTATGAAATCAGTTTTTATGAATAAATTCACAAAAAGATATTTTGAATAAGGAAATACCCTTCCGGATTCTGTTATATCATTTATACTATTAAAGAAACATTGTCATTGAAAATTAGTGGATTACAGATTATAACAAAGAAATTGAAAGGTAATCAGAGTTGTTTTATTACATCATGGTTAAAAAAAAAATACAAAACTGTCCACTTCAGATGAATGCTATGTTAGGTAACATTATAAATAAATTTAATATCCTTCATTCGTTATGGTAATTTTATAGTCGGGATATTTTCTCTTCAGGATTTCACAGGTTATGTTATGATCTGCTTTTCCATATCCCTTTATAATAGAAACAATAAATAAATTCAGTGTATTTATCATTGTAACATTAATTATATTAGATTTTTGTATTATTATTTAAAATTTCTTGTCATCCAATTTTCACACATATTACTTCCAGAATTTATACCATTTTTATTGCCATGGTAGAAAATTTGACCAGTGAGCATCCATATTTCATTATTTTGAAATCAAATTTAGGAAATTAATATTTCTATTCTAAGGAAAGTGATGCCCCTCTGGTAACAAAATTCTATTTATTAAGATGGCCAAAAAGGCTCAAAACACAATGTATGCCAACTAAATGGAAAGATTCAAAATTAAGTGTCCCATTTTCACCAGAGAAATGACAATATGTTAAGTCATGTATTGCCATAATTTCACAATATTTTGAAAGCATACATCAAATATTTATATAATCAAAATTACAAACCCCTAGTAAAAAATTTCTGATCAAAATAGTTTTAACTGAAAACCTGGAGTGAAGTTTATCGCGTAATGAACAAGGTTCCAACTTCTGTTGTGATTTTGTCATAGAGCAAACTTACATATAACACTACTTTCAGCACCTTCATTTGTCAAAAATACAAATGTTTTGGTCTCTTCAGAGACTTTCTTTGGGTATTAGATCAAGGAAGTCTCCAAAGAGACCAAAACATTAATGTTTTTGACACAAAAGTGCTTGAATAACTGCACCTAACATCTGAGACTGCATATTATTCAATAAACAAATCCAATTTTAAAGTTTTTTCTTGATAAAGGTCATTTCACATGACCGAAAACGTTAGAAGTTAATAAATTTGGCTGCACGTTTACAAGGTGTTTGTAAGTACAAGTTTGCTGTATAATGAAATCCCTCTTTTCATTTCTTATTTATATTTTGAGTACGAAAACATGCAAGTTAGCATTATGGAAAATTGGTTTTATAAGAAGAAAAAATTCCTGATCATGTGAGAATATTAATTGACAAGTGATGCAAAGCTTAAAACAGATTTACTTGGCTATGTATATGAATATGCAAAGTCCACCTGCTTGTATGACCAGTCACAGTCAAGTTAATCAATCACAAACTTTCAGGTAACAAAATGAATAAAATACAAGCATTTTTTTTCATATCAAAATATCAAAGTTAATTTCTGAACAGGAGGGCGTTTGAAAATACCATTTTTATAAATGATTTGAATATAAATAACTCCTGAAAAAAATTATATTTATCAAGCCCTCACAGCAGATTTATACAATGAGTAACTACAGGATACACAACAAATTAAAGTTAAAACAGCCATCTTTGGCAAATTGTCAAGGTTTTTTGTTTTTTACAAGTTAATGCTCACCCACACATTGCAGCAATTATGAGAAACAAAATAATGCAGTTGGGATGGAAACTTTTACCTCATCCTTCCTATTCTGCTGACTTATTTTTAAAAAATATGATTATCCAAAGATCTCTGCTGGATTACCATATGCGTAGAAAACAATTTACAAGTCACTCAGCTAAAAAAGAGAAAGTAACTTCATTTTTAATGCTAAAATGGTATTTTAAAACTGTCCCCCAATTAGGATTACACTCCCAAGGTGAGTATTTTGATGAATAAAATTATAAAATTATTTTAAACTTTACCAAAAAAAAGTCAAGCTTTTCTACCATATTTCAAAAAAACAATTTTTTTATTTTAGGTAACTAAATAAATATGTTAATTATTTTGATGACCACAAAAAGCAAATAAGGGTTTTTGCAATACACTTTCAAAATTGTGCTTTGAGCACAGTTAAAATAGGTTTGTGGAAAAAAATATAAAGTAAGAAGCAGTGTTGCTAGCTTACCGAGAAGTAGATACTCAAAATCGACAACAAATAGTCAAAGGTCAAAAGAAGTAAATTTCTGTGACTACAGTAAAGGAATTAACTCAACAGCAAGGACTATTCCTTCTGCAATGCAAAAATAAAATTGGCATTTTTCTAATTATCTTCTTGCCTAATCATTCAATATCATGTGTATAATGGTATTAAAACATATTAGATGTTTTACATCAGCAAAAGGAGATGTTTAGATCAAAAAGAAATAAGCTCTCGCTGCTTTTCCTAAGTATATACATCACTGTGGTATGCACTTCAGAACAAATTTGTCATTAACTATAACATAAGATACAATCTACAATAGCCAGCATTATCACTTTAGAGTTTTACTTGTAGATGTAACACATACACAGAGGAAATACTGTAATTTTTATGCACCTTACACTAATGCAATTGTAGACTGGGTGAGCATCATATTTAGTGATGAATCATGGGTATGCACAGGAACAGGTGATGACAATGACTATTTTATTTGGCAACTGCCTAGACAAAAATTCTATTGAGCATATCTGAACACAAAACAGTAGTTCTCTCAATCTACACTTATATATAGCTGTTACTGTTGTTATTTTGCAATGTAAAAGAGAATATAATCACTGGCACACAAAATTTCAACAATTCTAATTTAGGCCTGGATCATGTAAAATACAGTGTATGATAGTCCCTCTTATTCATGGAGGATACATTTCAAGATACAGTAGATATCTGAAACCATGGATAATACTGAACCCTATATACACATAATGTACTTACTGTGCCTAATTTATAAATGAAACTTTTTTGTAAAAGATTAACTCCTTCCACCCATAACAATAGGAACTAATAAGACACATTATATTATTACAATTGTTCTAATAAAAGTTTATAACCATGGCCTTAGCAAATGATTTTTTCCCCATGATCAAGAACTAGATCATGGAAAAAAACCTTTCACTTAAACCAAGGGTGTCAAACTGGAAGCCCACGGGCTGCATGAGGCCCGATATGAGTTTTTGTGGCTCGCAGCACCAAAATTAAATAAAACGGCATGCAGTCTGATCCAACTGATAAATGTTTATCTGCCATAATGAAGATTGTTTGTTCTCAGTTTTTTAATCCAGATATTGGAAAACTAGTAGGAGAAAGCTAGTGCTGGCAAGTTTCCAATAAAAACAGTTAATTTTAGTTTAATATGCAATACTACAACAATTATATATTTTTGAGTTGAATTCACTGAACTACATAATGTGTTTTAATTGCCCTTATCTATGTCCTATTCCTGTATTCTCACTTCAAATTAAATTTTAAGAAAATTTGTAAATATGATGTGGCCTGCGTGAAATATATCAGTCACAAAATGGCTCGTTGTTTAAATGAGTTTGACACACCTGACTTAAATCAAAGAGAAGCCTTAAAGTGTCTTCTTTATCTGAATTGCCAGAACTTCAAGAACAAGAATAACCCAAAATACCTGAATATTACAAACTTTAAACACTGAAAAGACAATAATTATCAAATTTTAAAATTTTTGTTTAAAGGAAAAATTTTATATATATAACATATTTATCTCTCTTCATTTTACATCCTTTAGATGCTTCTATGTTATGTCATTTTTATAAATATATGAAGCATGCAATGCCATTTTTCTCTAAATATGTTTTATTGAAGAACAGAATTCTAAATGCAATGTTTTCTGCTGCAAAAGAATATTGTGACAATATTGGCACTGAAAGTGGCTGTATTTTGAAGATGAATTTATATGAAGATATTATGTTTAAAGCACCAGAATGCAAGTCATGTGACTTTTGGTGTTTAAAACGTTATGACTTATACTGTATTTACATCATTTTGATATTGCAGAGAATTTGTAACCTAAAGAGTTTTTTTGCCAATTTTATTGTAAAATTGAAATGAATTCATTCATTAGAAAAAGTGTTTTTTACCTCTCCTGAAAAGTTTTTTTTTTTTGGCATTTACAACATTATGGCATTGCACGCTTCATATAATTATTTTCAAAATTACATACAATTCTTTTTTTATTTACATGAAGATTCATGCAAATTAATATAAACTAGCCTACATAAGTACATTAAAATTCCACAGAAGTTTTTACATATTGATATTAAAAGGTATCTTGTTATTGAAAGGTATTGATATTAAAAGGTTATTTGGTATCCAGATACCCGATTTCATAAATGGTAATTTTGTAGTTAATCATTTATATCTTATCAGTAACTAAGAAAATTTTTTTTGGTTTTTGAAAGGGAGTTCAGTAAAAATAAAATTCCTGAAAAGCAGCCATTACTTATTAAAATAGGCCAGTTCTTCCCAAAAATTACACACTGAATTCAATTCCATGATTACAACTAAACTTAATGATCCATATTCATGTACTGTACAGTGCAGTACATATATGATTATTTAGTACATGAAGTTCAGTTGTGGTGTTTAAGAGATTTCACATCTACTATAAAACCTTTAATTTTTCCCAATACTGTTTTGATTTGAAAGAGATTCATCATGTGATTATGTTCACAATGAGCAATATTCAGAAACGAATAATGTGATGGAACAAGACAAGGAACAGGTAATGTATGATGTGATGTAAAAAAATAAAAACAGAACTACATAAGAACTTTATAAAGAAAATAAAAAACCACAAAAAAAATCAAAATATTATCAGTGTGATATATTGTAATAAGTTTTATTTTAAATCCAAGCAATTGGTTTTACTCAATATTAGCATGGTACAACAATTAAATGTAATACTGTAGTGTAATAAACACAATCACTAGAAAGCTTATTCTATTTGTGTTATACATCTGAGTTGTAGTTAGTGCCTAAAAAATGAAAATTAACATAATCACAAACAAAACAGTTCCACAAAGTTATTCTAAATTAAATATATTGAATAAATAAAAATTAAAGTGAATTCAGTAAAAGAATACTGCAATATTCAATGAGTTTGATATAATTTATTATTGATTTATACTGTAAAAGGGTAGAATTACAAAGCCATTTGACTTTTTTCTTGCAAATGCTTGAGAATTGTGAGTTTAAAATTTTCCATATTCATTATAACTGAATCTCAAAGGCATTTTCTCACTAACAAGGGAATGGCATGATTTTGGGTCACCGATTTTGATTGAACTCTGAGGTTATAA